ACTCTTGTAGCCCGTTTTCTAACGAATAAGATGAGATAACAATTTGGGTACAACCATTAACTGAAAAACCTCGATAGGTTTACAAAATGAGCTGGTACCATTTTGAAGGGTCCGATGCTGGCTGTCAAAAGCCAAAAGACTAATGATTAATGAATAATTCTTAGAAATGAACAAAAAATTCGATTGGCTATATCGGCAGCCAGTTTTATTTACTCCAGATCTTAAAGAAGATGGTACGCTTCTTAAAATCTAGACAGCATTTCTCGGATACATTATAGTACCAAAGCTGTACATTTGAGACAGCATAAATGTTAGCAAACTCTTGGGATGGAACATCACAGAAAATCGGTTGATTAGTATCGTCAGAAAATGATACAACAACAATCTCAGCAGCAAAAATCAACATTAGTCATGTTGGGTTTCGAATGAGACGATCAACTTCAGCTCCGTCAGTACTTTGTGAAACAGGTATATGATTGTAAAAACAATCACTCTATTATTAATTGCTGTATGCTTTCTTATTTTTAGTTACCCAGAAAAGTTCGACCACATTACATATTACAACTCATGAATTAGCGAACTGTTGATACGTCGTCTACTTCGATTTCATCCACATGTAGTACTTCATCAGTCGTACCCAGGGTTTCTAATGAGAACTTTGAGCAGCGCGTACACAAGCGTGGTAATTCGTGGATTTTGTAGTTCTAGCTTTTCCTATTGGTTGATACAACGCGTATTTTCAATTTAGTTCGCGTATCGTACGCTTTGGAACAAAGGCGTACGCGTAATGTTAGAAACACTGGTCGTACCGTCTGAAATCGATTATTATGTAATCAATTCGATAGGACAATATCTGACCAATGCCAACGATGAATACTTGAAAGTAGCTGAGGCTTATTATAGAAGTGACATTAATAAAGATTTTCTTCACGATATTATTCATGCTGTACAAGATTTAGAGACATTGTTATCTCAATTCTTTGCATCCACAAAAGGGAATTGCCATCTTGATCAACTATTATTACAGTAGTATTATATGGATTTAAAGTGACAGATAGGGACGGTGATCAGCAAAATTTAGCAACAGAAGTGAGTTTCTGGATGGTTTTTGACAGAGTAGGTCGAATTCGTTTTTGAAAATAAGAAAAACTCTACTTCATTTGTCGTTCAATGTGAAAGATTGAATTTTCGTTCTAATTCATAATAATGTATTTCATCTCCACGTTCGATTTTTACTTAAAACTGAATACAGCACTTAACAAACCGCATTTCAAAGTTAATACAATCAACAAGCAAATACTTATTGTAATGTATTATTATTTTTATCGTTCGTGGCATCCTATTGATAGAGGCAATGAAATAGAAAAAGAAAATGCTAACAATAGCGAAATCATTTTGTTGTGTTTTTCAAAAAAGAAAAAGAAATAAAAATTCAGCTTATATTTTGTACTCTACTTTGTATTGTTATTACTCTTTTTATTATGCATCTATCAGTGATGAAACTTTTATTATAAATGTGAGAAATTTCGTCGTATTTTACTGTGCAAGTCAGTAGAACACTTACAACTGTGAGACAAAAATCAAATAATAGGAAAGAAGAGAGATAGAAGAAATTATTTTACGTCGAAACAATAACATTGTCCTTGTGTCAGAGCTGTCAAATTATCATTATACAGTATAACTATCAACCGCACGAGAAACTTCAGAATTTCAGAATTTCAAACTTAGCCTTATACCGTGAGCGATAGTAAATCTTCTAGAAAATAGTAGAATTTCAGAATTTCAGAATTTCAAACTCATCCTTATACTGCCTGCGATAGCCACTCTTACAGAAAATGTTGGAATTTCAGAATTTCAGAATTTCAAACTCATCCTTATACCGTGTGCGATAGTCACTCTTATAGAAAATGTTAGAATTTCAGAATTTCAGAATTTCAAACTCATCCTTATACTGTGTGCGAAAGTCACTCTTATAGAAAATGTAAGAATTTCAGAATTTCAAACTCATCCTTATACAGTGTGCGATAGCCACTCTTATAGAAAATGTTGGAATTTCAGAATTTCCGAACATCGGGTTATCTGGACAGCGTGTGCGATATTCATTCTTATACGAATTGGTGTTGGAACCGCATATGTCTCCACGAGTTTATTGTAACTATGTGTTTCATGAACTACTCGAAACTAAGACCCAAAGACTTATAGGTGATGCTCTGACGGAGGAGGCAGCTGGGGAGGGGCGTGGCCGGGTTGTGAGTGTGAGTGGTTTTCCCGCGCTTCTTGCGCTGAAGTGCCTAGCAGGGTTCAGGGCGTTTCCGCAGTTTTTCCAGAACCATAAACTACGTCACTATTTCTCTTGCGGACGCCAGCATACCATACAGTATACCGTATAATAGTATAAGGATAAGCAATACTATAAGGATGAGTTTGAAATTCTGAAATTCTGAAATTCTAACATTTTCTATAAGAGTGACTATCGCACACGGTATAAGGATGAGTTTGAAATTCTGAAATTCTGAAATTCCTACATTTTCTGTAAGCATGACTATCGCACACAGTATAAGGATCAGTTTGAAATTCTGAAATTCCGAAATTCTGGAATTCTAACATTTTCTATAAGAGTGATTATCGCTCACGTTATAAGGATCAGTTTGAAATTCTGAAATTGTGAAATTCTGAAGTTCTGAAATTCTAACACTTTCATGGTTATACTGTATGAGGATAATTTGACAGCCCTCCCTTGTGTACACTTTTTTATTCATCAAAGTTCAGTTAGAAATTTGGGCAGCGCTATTGGCACCTCCGGAGGTGTCACCAAGGAGCTATTGCCACTATTAGAAGATGTTAATAACGGATATTGTCAATGTCTAGCTTACAAGGGTCAGTGCATATTTGTATGATGACTAGTGATCCCACACCTAGTACCCAGCGGTGTACAGTTTATTCCCAACTGCTCAGGTGTGATACAAAGTACTACCCGCTGCTAGGTATGCATCGGTTTCGCCAAAAAATCGACCATCGGTTATAACCGAGTAAACTTTATAATGTGCTCGGTCTCAAATAGAAGTGTAAGGCACTAGCGTAACACTAATTAACGTTAATTAATTATCAATTAATACTTTAATTTGTTTTTAATTTTATCACGAGAGTGTAACCACAATATTGGCTATCAAGCTATGTCAGGAATAACGTATCAACGATCATTTTTGATTGAGCTGTAAGCTTTTTAAAATCGGGACTATCACAATTGAAGTTTTAATTAAGATTGAAACTAAATTAATTAATCACTCTGCGGAGACTTATCAATTAATCGAAAAACATTAAGGATATATGGAATAAATAAATTGACAAAGTATGAGAGTGCTTATGGGGGCGACCAGCTAAACCGATCTTTTATTGATGATTCCTTTTTCCTAATAAAATGAGTATGTGCATTGACAGAAACAGGCTGAGGAGTCATTGATATCTCATTTGTATATAGGTCTATTCTACAATTGTACGTACTAGAAAAAGTTCCATCGTCCAAACTTTCGAAAATAGAAATTTTAGCCTGAATATCACTCTCTATCTTTGGTATACGTTTCTCATAGCTATTCGAGAAAAACAATGTAAAAGAAGTTGTACTAATTTCTGGTGAATCTTTTGTTTTTATTTTTTTTGTTTTATTTTGGCAATTAATTCAAGAGATGTTACATTAAAACTTTCAACGAAAAAGGTTAACATAAAAACGAAAACAAAACCGTATTGGCAGGAAAGCACAGTGCTAAGTATATATAAGATTTTGCCACCTTTACACTACCTCAATCATATTTGCAGATGTTGGCGCAAACTCGGGAACCAATAGTTACTTAAACTATCTTGATGTTTTCCAAATATTAGCAATCAACAGTATGGTTGCAGATTAAACGACTCAACTATCCCGGTAGAAAATCATTTTTTCTCAGCATTCTCATCAACATTCTGAATTTAAACAACTGTTAACGGGTGATTTTAAATCATGTTTGTTACCTCTGCTTATAACAACTGTTGATTCATGTGTTCTTCACAATCAAATTCACGAAAACTAGTACAACTACTGTGCATGTAAAGTTTAATACCTTTTTCGTAAGAGTTATAACAGTGTGGGTAAAAAATGACAATCATCAATCTGCGCAGTCGCAATAGTCAGTGGTGTGGCAACCATAAGATCGATTCTAAGACCCTTGAAAAGTCTTCCTACAGTCTTCTTCAAGATTCTTCGCAGATCTATGTATGTTGAGACGTTTTGTATCTTGGTCACTAGATAACTTTGACCAAGAGTTTTGACAGATTATTCTGTCAAGAATACTGATCACAACTGTTGGTGTCGTGAGAATTGTTGGGCCTTGATGCTTTTTTACAGATTCTTGTAAAGTTAAGCGATCAAAAAAGACTTTTGACAAATTTAGCCAGAGTCAAGATTCTTGACAGAGATCGCCCAAGAATTACGATCTATGATGATAACTACTGCAAAAAACAGGAATAATAAGAAAGAAAAAAATGTTCCCGTGCCGGGGATCGAACCCGGGCCTTGACGGTGAGAGCGTCAAATCCTAACCACTAGACCACGCGGGACATACAGTTCTCTTCTGAAAACACTAGCTTCAGCAAAGCTGTAAAATTACAAAAGACTACACTGGACTAAGATTCTAACATCCTTGGTATTTTCTTGAAAAAATATTATGAACTGTTTGACTTGCATTCGTTTTCATTTAGCCCACTCGCACCGCCTATACTTCTGCGCTGATGGATGGTAAAAATGATGTCACTGAAATAATAGCATAAGAAATGTAAGTATAACTAAACATTTATTTCATTACACGAACGCTTTTTTACTACAATGCGCACAGTGTCAATTTTTGTATGTTCTTCATCTGTTGCTCTATATGCTACTTTTATAGAAGAGTATTATATCAGAGAGTATTATATACTATATCGATTCTTGCATGCAGGGGTCTCCATAGTAACTAAAATGAAATTCAATTCCAGACAGTTCATAGCATCGGGATCGCCCTCACGGAGATCGATATCTCCTATATCCCTATATTGAACTTGTAATCTTTTAAAACTTTAGTTGTTTTGACACCCTTCTCATTTACTTGATATAGGTAGCACAGCACTTTGTGTGTTCATTGTAAAAGCTTGTTGAGCTAATGCTTCATCGATTTAAGCTTTTTATTTAAAGAATTCAAAATGAACAAGAAAACAAAACCAATCAAATGAAATCGTCGTCCTAAGGACTACATTATATCTTCTGACAAGAATCTCATGCTTCATTTGAACACCAGCTGCCAGTTTATGCACTCCATAGGTTGTATATGTCTCCTTTACAGAGATAAATATGCTACAGTAGTTATCTCATTTGATTGACTAAAAACAAGCGTACCTGCCATCGATGAATTCATGGTGGTTCCATTAACAGTTGAGGAATGAACTAAATGCAAGGGTTAGGTTTCAAAAATGTTAATTGAATTTAGATATTGTAAAAACAATGTGCCAACAATTCAAATGGAACTATAACAATGTTGTGGTCGTTAATATTTCTGTGAAAGTTACCATTCTGTTGTATCCCATCAAAAGCAAAAAGCGTTTTAATCAAGTATCTTGCGAAAGACTATACTATATTGAGAAGGATCAATTGCTGTATATTTCGTATAATCTTCATGTGCAGAGTATGAGTTGCAGAGCTGAATTTTCAGGTATAATTTGTGTAAAAAGAGAAGGAAACTGAACCACGGGTTAGACCTTCTCAACAACGGTAGGAGTTACCAACAAAAAAGATGGCATGCATTTATCGTCCTATCGAAAAAGCTTTAACGAACCTTTGTAAATTGAGAAGCATTTGTCATTTAAAATTCAGCTTTAAAACTTTTAGTTTTATCACTAAAATTTCTCGAACATATTAATAACTTTGAAAAATAAAAAAACAATACACTTGAAAATAGATTTTTGTACAGCAGCAGTTATTTATTTAATAATTTAGATTTATCGTGACGTTTCGACTCTTCACTGAGT